TTTCCAAGAATCCTTAAGTGAAAGGGCTAACAGGAGCAAAGACATAGGAACCTAAAGTTGCTAATGCATACGGAAGAGTCCCCTGGAGAGTATCAGTCAAGAAAAAGAACTTAAAAAGAAAAGTGGTTAACTCATCTGTATGCTCAAGAATGACCCAGTCTCTCCACAGTGTGCAGTCCTAAAGGACAACTTAACATGAAAACCACTTAAACTTTAAAAATTTTACTGAACATCTTTTGGATATAGATGCCTAGGAGTGGAATAGCTGGATCTTGAGGTAACACTATTCTAATTTTCTGAGAAACTGCCAGATTGATTTCCAAAGTGGTTGTACAAGGTTACATTCCCACCAGCAATGGAGGAGGGTTCCCCTTTCTCCACAACCTCTCCAGCATGTGTTGTCACTTGAGTTTTTGATCTTAGCCATTCTGATGGGTAGAAGGTGAAATCTCAGGGTTGTTTTGATTTGCATGACCCTGATGATGGACACCGAACATTTAAGTGTTTCTGCCGTTTGATATTCTTCTGTTGAGAATTATCTATTTAACTCTGTACCCCATTTTTATTTGGATTACTTGGTTTGTTGGTATCTAACTTCTTAAGTTCTTTATATATTCTGGATAGGTATATACTCACTCATAAGTCATTATTAGAAATATAATATAGGCTAAACATACTAAAATCTATATTCCTAAAAAAAGCTAAGCAACAAGGAAGACCCTAGAGAAGATGCTCAATCCTCATTCAGAAGGACAAATGCGATAGACATCGGAAGCAGAAGAAGACAGAGAACAGGACAGGAGCCTACCACAGATGGCCTCTAAAAGACTCTACTGATAGAGGTAACGAAGCAGAGGCTGAAACTCATAGCCAAACTTTGGGCAGACTGCACGGAATCTTACAAAAGAAGGGGGAGATAGAAAGACCTGGAGAAGACAGAGCTCCAAAAGGAAACCAATAGAGCTAAAACAAACAAACAAACAAAAAACCTGAGCCCTGGGGGCCCTGAAGGGAATGATACCCCAACCAAGGACCATGCATGGAGAGGACCTAAAACTCCAGCTCAGAAGTAGCCTGTAGACTCAGTCTCCAGTGGACTCCCTAGTAAGGGGAGCAGGGGCTTTCTCTGGCATGAACTCAGTGGCAGGATCTCTGATCACCTCCCCCTGGGGGATGCAGCCTTGCCAAGCTACAGAGGAAGACAGTGCAACCAGTCCTGATGAGACCTGAACGGCTAGGTTCAGATAGAAAGGGAGGAGGTCCTCCCCTATCAGTGGACTAGGGGAAGGGAATGGGACAAGAAAAGGGAGGGAATGTGGCATTAGGTGGTGATGAGGGAGGGGGCCACAGCCGGGATACAAATTCAACAAATTGTAATAAATGAAATTAAAAATGAAAAAAAAAAGAGAAGTTACTGAAAATGGATGTGTACAGATACTTGAACAGGAAGAAGAGTGACTACTCTTCCTGGGGACCCAGGTTTGATTCCAGCAACCACACACCACAGACTGTGACTCCAGTTACAGGTGAGCCACTGCCCAGTTCTGGCCTCCACCAGCACAACATGCACAGGGAGCACACGGTTTCACATGCAGGAAAAGTACCCACACATAAAATAAAGTGAAAAGGCACTTTAAAGCCTACAGTGAAAATGGACCTAGCATTCAAAAGAGAATTTGACATAACTGTAAAAAAAAAAAAAAAAAAAAAAAGTCAGGCAGGATAAGTCCATGTAAAATTATACACTCAATAGCACACACTTAGAACGTAGGAAGACCTCAGCAAATAGTGTAGATAACTGCATGAAAGCTTGTTAATGACTGGAAAATAGCCAGACGGTGGACTCCTGAGATAGATTTGTAGAAATGTGTAAAAACTGCAGAATGGAAATAAAAAGACAAGTCAACTGTAGGAGTCATGATCGACAGAATAACCGGTGACACAGTCGCTAGAAATGGAAGAACAGACCCATCTATCCAGTTATGTATGCAGTTTGCTAATAAATGCCAGTGCTCACACATCCTAAGACGTGTGCCAGCCCCCCAAAACAAAGCTAACTGTGAGAGTCCCGGACTGCAAGTGGACTGTCCAGCCTCTGGAGAATGCCTCAGAGGGGAAACCGGAACATACCAGTTCCCTGTCAATTAGAAGAATGGATGGGAACCTGGGTATCAGGCCTATAGGAATGTGGGAAAATTTAGATAGTCTGCTAGTAAAGCCTCCAACACAGCGGGGCACAGCATGGGTGACTAGACACCCAAGCAGGGGTAGGGAATCAACACAGTGGAGAGAAATGAGCAAGGGGAAACACTGGTAAGCTGCTGAATAAACACTTCTTTGCAGTTGACCTGGGTGTGCGAGTTGGAGGTGCGTGAGGCAGGGAGAGGGAAAGAGAGAGATTGACCTTTCCTAAGGTCTAAGGCTTGGGATGTCAGATGTGGTCTCAGAGCCAATATTCCTAAAAGGAAAGTTTGGAATGATGGCTTCTGTTTCCCACAGGTCTCACTGGTCTCAGAAGCTATGACTGAAGGCAGAGATTTCAATAAAAAGGCTGTTACAGCTAGCCAGGGGGTGTCCAAACTGCAACTTGAAGAATAAAAACAGTAATGGATGCATTAGGAAAGGACACCCGAGACGATTAAAAATAGTCCATCAGTTCTTGTTGAACAATAATTTGCCCGAACACCATTGATGCAATCCCAATCGCTACTGGTCCTGCTTAGAAAAATAGCTTCCACAGAGTGTGAACTCTTTAGCCCCTCCATTCTTCTCCCTGACCTCTCATACCATCCCCTTCCATCCATCCCTCCACTTTTTCTCCTCTCACCTCTCCCTCCTCTGCCCTCTTTCCTAGGCAATTACATACTTGTGTGAGTTAGGAAATGTGTCAGACTGAAAGTGTTTCTGGATTAACAGGATGTTTTTTGTTTTTTGTTTTTGTTCTTACTATAAAGTTTCTTTTAGAATATGAAGATCTGAACTGATATTGTTTCATTTTTTTAAATTTTATTTTGATACGTTTGTTCAATAATGTTCTTTTCCTACATATTTCCATTATCTCCTTGAGAATAGAATAAGGAAGTAAAGGAAAATCTAAACTTTTGAAAAACTAAATGGATTTTCATAAAAGTGTGAAACTTACAGGATTTTCTATTCCTTTTGTCATGCCATTCAGTGTGGTTGAGACTTTCAGCAGACAGAGCCTACTGGCAGCTCTGCTGAGCCTCAGGCAGAGAGTAGGAATATAGTATTGAAAGTTGTTTTTTTATTCCCTGCTTTTATAAGGTCTGACCTGAAATTATATTTATGAGTGTCATAATGTCTCATGAACAATGGTTTCTTTTCTATTTTAATTCATTCCTAATGTTTTGTTACTTCCCTTCAGGGAAGTAAATCACAATAACAATCTTTCAGCAAAAAAACAAAACAACGTTTATAAAATCATAATCTGGCTGTTTGTAGAGACAACCTCCTGTGGGTCTATTTTTGAAAACAATACTATGCTGAAGTTTAAAGTCACTGGCTAGATTAAAATGAAATCATTTTCACTTATCATCATTATCGGAGACAAATGACAGGAATTCTTTAAGATGAGAACCAAGCAAATGTGAAATGTTTGGAGCATTAGGAAAAGAAAGAATTCAAGCCATGGCAAGTTTTGCTATTCATGCATTGCTCATGAATTCAAAACCCACAGGGAACTACAGAACAAACACCGACAGAGGTGGGGAGGTGGCTTCTCTAACAACCTCACAAAGGTGTTGCTCACTTTACAACTCCAGTTGTTGTTTTTGTATCAGTTCTGGAAGCAGCCTGGAATTGTATGCTCATCCTAAAAGGAAAGCTGTTAAAGGCCATTTATGCCTTCCTAAATCAGCAGACTCAGCAGGCAGTGGGAGGCCTGAAGATGCAGGGAGAGCCGGCCGGCCGGTGGGTTACGTGATTTCCTGACAAACAGCTCTAAGGTAGCAGCCCCTTGGCGTCTGGCTAAGCACGGAAAACCCTAGATGTCTAAACTTCATATTTCATTGTGCTGTGAGGTGTCAGCAAAGTAAACATGACACTTAAAAAAGTCGAGCAAAGTTGTCATTTCTTAGGAAGCCCTAGCAAAGTGCTTCATGACAGAGCAGAATTTTCCATTTTCTAAATGAATTCCTGTGAACAACCTGTTCTACGCATTTTCAAAGGCTGGAAGAGAAACATTATTTTGAAAGTCACCATTTGTGCCCTGATTTCTCAGCATTAGAACAGGAGGTGCAAAGGCTGGCGTTCTTCCAGAACTTGCCTCTCTGCTTTGCACCAGTCCCACATATTTCATGAGTATACTCTCCGCTCCTGCAGTTTGAATTAGTGGGTGAGGATGAAACTGTTAATCCCTCACTTGTAAATGGATATATAAATGTTCTGAATGGCTGGGCTTCTAGAACACAGAATGTTCATACTACTGGAATGAAATGGCCTTTACCAGTTTCATTTCAAAAAGTCCTTTTTAATAGAGAAAGAAAAAAAAATATAGGATTTCTTATTGATGTGAAGCCAAACCAGGAGTGGTGTGACACACCTACGATCCTGGCACGTGGGAAGCAGCCTGACAATGACTTTAAATTTCAGGCTAGCCTAAGCTATCCTCTCTTTAAACAGCAAAGCGAAATGTACTTTTGGAGTAAAGATATTGTATGTCAGTTTAAAAATCACTGCTCTATGCAGGTATAGTCTGGTTGCTGTAGAAGCTATATAAGCCAAGCATTTCATAACAGGAAGGAAAAGAAAAAGATTAAGCTACAGTGGGAACAATTATCATTCTAAACACTTATCAAGGTTTTCGGGCAGAGCCCAGTGGTAAACACTTAAGTAGCATACACAATGTCCTGGCTGAAGGGGGGGGGGGGGAGAAAACTACCAAATACTGTCCCTGTATCCTCAAGAAAAGAACTGACAACATAGAAAAGTAAGTCACTCTAGAAAGATAGATCCAGATTATGAACACAATTTCAACTTACTTGTCTCCAAAAAACTTCCTCCAGAATTCAGCAGCATCTGCTTTGGTGATCCGGAAGTTATCTCCTTGGAACTGGCCATTGGGAAAGATTGCCTTGATTTCTGCCAGCATGTGACTGAAGATAAGGGACAGTTTTGTGAGGTTCCGTCTGTCAAGTACAAGGGAAAAAAGGGAGGTAAGTATATGCATGCAACCTTTAATAGGAATATATATTAAGAAAACAACATTTTGTATAGATTAAGCTGAGTCTTAGTAGTTAGTCATGAACCTAAAAATAGGTTGATCTAAAACTATCCATCTAAAATAATGTTTACTGTTCACTTACATTTGGTTTTTATTATATCCTTTATCCACATTTATCTAACAGAAACATGAGTAAGAAAAAAATATCTAATTAATTCATTAAGCCCAACGTAATCAAGTATAAATGTTAAACACGAGTGAAAGAGTGCTTTCTCTACCCAGAAAAGTAAAGAAAAATTTGACACTAGAGGAGAGTGCAGGAGATATGTGATTGCCTGGCACAGAGGTGTCCTGAGGTAGAGAAAGGAGGATGGGGGAGGAGGGCAAAGGGCCTGAAAGCATTAGAAGCAAAACTGTTCAAATATGGATATGACTTTGGGTCACTGGAGCACAGCAGAATGAGAGAAGACAACAGGAAATAGGCTGAGAGGACGTTAACTTTGGACTTGACATGAAGGGAGATCCACGTCAGTGAGACAAGGTTTTTACAAGTTCACTGTTCCCTTCTACCTACCTATGATGGGGTTTGAAAACAAAGGTCTCCAGAGTTTCCTGGGTCATTCTAACATGTTTCCCTATTAGGAGGACTACTATATAGAGAGGGGAGCCAAAATGGACTCAGGGAAATGTCTCAAAAGAGTCAAGTGACGACAAGATGAGAAAAGATGGCTAAGTTATAAAGTAACTGCAGGCATCCTCCATTTGAATTCCCTTGCTTCTAGGGATTCTGACATAATTTAAAATACGTCTCATAAAGCAAAATCACACTAACCCCTGTAACTGTTCTACCTTAAGTTTACAAATTACACTATGGTAAAAGGCCCTGAAGTGCCAGAGCTAGATAATGAAGAAGCATCTGCAACACCAAATGTTGAGCACATTTATTTTAAAGTAAGTTTTAAACTTTGAACTGACTCTACATTCTTTTTCTACTCACAATCACCAACCCAAACTCAACGAACACACACATATACGCACACAAACACACTATGTTTGGTTGTTAGGTTGGTGGGCACTATGCTTCCTAAAACTTTTTAAAAGATACATCAGATGAACAGAGAAAAAAAAAATCAACGTACTCACAAAATGAAAGAGTAAAATTAAAAAGGAAGCAATAAGTATAAACTGTATTGTCACAATATTTTTAAACTGCATGGAAAATACCAAAGAGTACCAAAACACACATCATCTATGAAATTTCATTTCTAAGCAGTCAGAAGCTAGCAGATTTACTCACTGCACATAAATATCTCTTCATTATCTGAACTACATCTGTGCTGGTGCTTAACAGAACCATATCTAAGGGAAGATCTTCTACTCAGTTGAAACAGAGGAGGACAATGCAGCCAATCCTGAATGAGACCTGATAGGCTAGGGTCAGTTGGAAGGGGAGGAGGACCTCCCCTATCAGTGGACCATGGGAGAGGCATAGGAGGTGAAGAGGGAGGGAGTGAAGGATTAGGGGGAAATGAAGGAGGGCCACAGCCGGGATACACAGCCAATACAACGCAAATTGTAATAATAATTAATAAAAAATAAAAATTAAAAGAAAGAGTGACCTGGCTGCCCCATGTCTGTCTATCCATACAGATTAAAATGACAGCAAGTGTTAAGACATGCATTCTAGGAGGTGAAAAGCAAACTGTTCTGTTCCATAAAAGCAACAAAGTGTGTTCACCTTCAACTGTAAAAGACCTTCAAGATCCCTGCTTAGAAAAAAACATAAAGTCACTTTCAAAAACCTGCAACAAATTATGTCCCATTATTAGGTGAGAGGGTTAGCTTTCTACCAAACTTCCAACTGACACATTAGAAAGAAACAAAAATGAATATGGTTATAATTAAGATAAACCAACTGTTCCTTCTTTTCTAAAATGCTTGCCTCCATCCCCTTGTGCCTTTGTTCTTTAATCAGATCCAAACGTTTCTCATTTTTCCTTGCTAGATGTAAGTCTGAAGCATGAAGTCAGTGAATTTCTAACCTTGATATTGATATTTGAGCCACAGGAGATGAAAAAGGATAGAGTGAATTAACTTGTTCACTTGTTACTTAGACACTCAACATTAAAACAGAAATATGACCTGTTTTTAAATTTATAATCTAGAAGCTCTAATAGTCACTAATGCATATGTAAATAACCATTGGTCGTTTATTTATGTGCATATTTTCTTTACCCTCAGGTGGATGGCTACAATTTTTACTGACTTGCTTTACATAACCTGAGATAATGAAAAAAAAATATATTTGAACTGTATTCTGTAAAGAAACTCTACTCATATTGTTAAAAGTATTTGCAATCACTGATGTCATGTTACCTTAATTTTCATATAGGCCAGAATCTAAAATTATATAATATTTTAACACACACACACACACACACACACACACACACACACGTAAATGGTCATTCAGGAATGTCATCATCAAAGACAATGATTTATAAAGGTTATAATTCATATTAACATAGTAAAATAAGCTATCTAATATCATATAAAGTTATTGGCACAATAAAGAGGCTGTGACATTCCTGTATGTTTCTATGTAGTATAAGCTTTATGTAATTCCCAAAGATACACTGTATTATAGACACCCAGCTTTTCACAACACTCAACCTTCAAAATAAAATGCATAGTTACATTTCTACTCATTTAAAATGCAGAGGAAGGAAGAAGGTATGACTGAACATGTTCCCTGCAGCTATGACTCTTGTTCCTGCCATACAATCATTCCATAGTGAGACAGCTTTTCATAAAGCCTCCTGATTCGCCACCATATGATCAGAAATGATGACTAATTAACAAGGGGTTTCATGATTCCTAAGTACTATTTTGTATCACCAAACTCTCCTGCCCCACCACAAGTTAAAAAATAAATTAAAAAAAAATTCTGCTCTCAAATATTCAAGAATCTTAGAAATTTAATTCTAAGTACATTTGCAAAAATTTTGCATGATGAATTCCTCCATTTACAAAAAGAAGTCCTTATTACTATTCATCTTCCATTAACCATCACAAGTCGAGCCATTTTTTCATTTGTTTTGTGGGAAACTTTGATTATAAAAAATTATTTCAGAGTAAAGGTATTCTAAACACCAGCCAATCAGAAAGGAGATGACAATATTGACTAGAACTACTAAAGATGTCAACATTGCAGAAGACCGACAGGAAGGGAAGGAGGCATAAAAATAAACAAGCAAACAACAGAGGAAAAACCAAAGCCAGGTTTGTTATTCTTTAAATAACATGTCCAATGCATCCATAATGTCAAGGCCATCACTCAAGCTACAGGACACCACTCTTCTGTCCTAGGTAATGTCTAACACTATATTGTCTTTCAGTAGTTTCTCTGAAACTCAGGCCAAGTGGAATGTGCAATAAAATGTGTTGCTGAATGAGAATGAATAAATGACCTAAACTGATGGCATCTCACTGTTATGAATAAGTCGAATTAGTTTAGGTGACTCCAGCCAACATTATATAGGACAAAGAACCAATAAAGTTTGATACAAAGCTATATAAGGCTAATTTTAACTTTAGCACAAAAATACACGAAGAGAACATTAAAGTAAAACATGACAGGGGCGGTACACCCAAATTATGGCCATTATGACTCGATGAATTAATGTTCAAAATTGAATTAACAACATCAAATTTTCATTGGTGGCATCCACAAAACACTAGAGATGCATAGAGCATGTAATCTAATGAGATTGCTTGTTGCTGGTTTGCTTCACTGGAGAAACCGCTGTCATAAATCAAGGAGGAAATAAAAAAGCCAGAAATGCTGAATTAGTTTAAAAAAAAAACTTTAAAAGAGATTGAATTAGCAAAGTCCAAACTTCATGAGAATGTGCTGCTTTGGGTAGAAGATACAGGGTATTTTATCACCAACTACTGATAGTTCAGTCCCCACATTTAAAGGCTAGCATGTGCTTCTAGCTCTCTGCATGATAATCTAACATAAAACCAAAGCAGTGCATAAAGTATAGAAACAGAGGTGCTTACAAGGAAACTTGTGTCCAGTTAAAGAGCAGGTTCTACTGCAGTTGTGACAGAGTGCCTTGAAGAAAGGCTCAGAGTTGCTCCCAACTGTCTCTGTCCTTGGGCACCATCATTCCAAAGGGAGTGAGGAGACGTGGCTGATGTAAGCCTTGCCTTTCATTTCTCCCTCCTGAGAGCAGTCTATTATTAAAAAGAGGCCTGGCAGTCTTAAATAAAACTGATTATTACTCACTCCCTCCATCCGAATACTAAGAGCTGTCAGACCTCTATGGTCTTGACAAAGAAGCTTTCTTTTAAAAGTCTAAAAGCAGGCTACAGTGAATCCTGGTGGGTTGGTTCTAGTCACAACTTCAGAAAAAAATAAAAAGAAAAAAGCAGAAAGAGCCCAGCAACTATTTACTAGTGAAGGCTTAGGGTTTACTTCAAGCCACAAAACAAGTCAGGAGTGTGCCAGAAATCAACCTACCTCTATCAGGTAGCTCCCTGAAAACTGAGGAATGATGGTTAGCTTGGGGTGAGAAAGTGGACCAGCAAGAGGGGGAAGAGGATGCAGAAAAGAGCGGGAATAAAAACCACGTGCACTGATAAGTAGGAAAATACTATAATAAATGTCATTGTTCTATGGCTAATTAAAATATTAATAAATTAAATATAAAAATAAATTACAAACTTTAAAAGAAATTAATAACAAAGCCAATCCAGATGACTGATAAAGCAAAGCCCAGGCTCCAATTCCTAGCCCGAAACAGAGATGCACACTGGGCATTCTTTGATCCCTACATAGCATCTTCTTGCATGTGCAAGAAGTTTCTATTAGGGTAAAAACTATCAAAGTAAGGATTCTGCTCATGTGGAAAACAGATGGCTCAAGAACAAATAGCTACAAATGGACCCTTAACAGGC